GGTAGTTGGCTAGATCTCAGAGATGCATGAAGAAACACTGGGGCCGAAGCTTTCCCAGGTCGCCATACTTGCCCTAGTTTGTTTTGTGGATTTATAGAAACATACAATCATAAATGATTTATGCAACCACTAGACTTTCAACAAAATACAGCTATCTGACTTTTATACTGAGGAGCCGTGCAAAATTATATAACACAAAATACCCTTTGAACACCCCTAAAGCAGGGGTGGGCAAACGTTTTGTGTGTAGGGCCGCATTGACAAATGTAAAGCTATTGGGGGGCCGCAGGTATGTTATGTCCAATTTGTACATGTGGATAAACACTTCTCTACATTAAAATCGGCAAATCCGCATTACATGACAAAAGCCAAAGATTGATTTTAAAAAAGAGAAAGACATTTGATCAACAATATGAAAACAACGGTCCATGAAATTCTGTAAAATTCAACAAATAACTTAAAATAAACAAAGTTTAAAATTTGTTTTCTAAATGCCTTCGAGGGCCGCACTTTGCCCTCCCCTGGAGTTATATAACATTTCCGTTGACAGCCTTCCCCAAATATTATATAACACTTCTGGCTACCCCCCCCCCACACCCTTCCAATAAAACCAAATGAATCCCCCCCCCCCCAAAGCAAAAAATTATTTTTGAAAATAAAATTTAAAAATGTGCTAATTATTTAAATTATTGTAAGCAAAAAATAAATTAGTCATATTTTCGTAAATTTGATAAAAGTTAAAGAAATTTTGCAAAATATAAATGAAATAAATTTATATAAAAAAAAAATTAAAGTTTTTTTTTTATAAAACATTGCTTTGTACCACTCTCGCTCCATATTACGAAATGCTAATCCACCCCTGTCCCCTTAGCGTTCTATAATATGTTCACGGTCTCTTAATAAATACAGCCTTCTTTACCTTCATACATTTACTAAACTCATTCCATCTGACGTGCAACATGCTGGCGAACGGTACCATTATAACCGGTCAACTAGGGGCGTACCAACAATGAGTGCGTTCCAATACGTTTGTAAACGTATGCTAGCAATGAGAACTAATGAACGCTGGGCTCCTGTCAATTGGAAAGAAATCAACATACAATCAACCGAGAGTTCAACATTTATTAAGAACAAGAACATTGAAGTGAAGAACAACAATTTCAACACAGAAGCTCAGTTGACAGTTTTGATAGAACTGATAGGAATGAATTAATAAACATGTTTCATCATAACAACCAGGCACAATCTCAGTGCCGTGCTTTAACAGTGACCAAAGAAAGAGAAGACAATTATGATGGTCTCATTCGGTTTAACTTTGGGGGCACGCAGCCTCCCCAGACAAACAAAATAATTAAAATCATGTTGGCTTGCTTGTGCCTCATGTTGGCTTGCTTGTGCCTCATGTTGGCTTCCTTGTGCCTCATGCTGGCTTGCTTGTGCCTTTGGAATGTTTATTTTCACTTGATAACAAAAACAATAAAAGGTCATAATTAGTTTGATCTTAGCCTTGTCCAAATTCCCATACTGAGCATAAAGTTCGGTAAATTAAGACTAATCATCAACATTTAAAAGTTGTTCATTAAGTGGATTCCCCCCCCCCCCACACTTTTGTTTGGTTCCTAAAAATAAAAAAAAGGTTCGACAACCCCACTTTTCCTTAACCCCCCCCCCCCCCGGTAATGGTTGAATAGTTAGGTTTACGTCACGCCCTATTATCCGTTAACTTTCAACTTCAATGTAATGGTCTAGGCCTCGAGATTCGATGTTGTGGGATATAACTTAAATATTTAAAGTACATGAGCATTACATGACAAACTAACACTCGTTAAATGTATTGAAGCTGACCTGTTTAGTATTGCCCTCCTGTGTTTTAATATAAACATAAAATAGTTTCCATCTCAAGAACTAATGTTCCTCTGCTTAATCTTCAAATTGCCCCCCCCCCTCTCTTTCCCCACCAACCAGGTCAGGTCATATACATTATGTTGGGGGAACACTGATTGAGGGGAACTANCCCCCCGCTTCCTCCCCTAAACAGAACATGATGTGAACTGTGAAGGCTTGTATTAACACATAGCAACAGAGGTCCAGTCCAACTAAGAAATAGGTCATGATGTCACAGTGAATGCTGCCTTGTTTTGTTGAACTTTCTAATCATTTATGATTGAGATATAAATTGTAAGCATATATTTTAATGCATATATTTTAATTTATACATTTTAAAAACTAAATCAATCATGCTGCAGTTTAAAATCAATATCATATGTCATATTATTATTATGGTTTGTTATAAAAATAATTTTTTTTTTTTAAAAGCTAGACTTAACTGTATCAGGGCTAAGAAATGTTAAGTGAACAATCAAATCATCAGTAGAACTTGTCAAAGCTTACATATTTTAACAAATTAAAAAGCATTGGAAAAAATTCAGACAGAGTGTGTCTCTGTTATACTGGTAATGAGTTGTTAGTAAGCAGACGTAACAACTTCAAATGAAGTTCTAGATCAGCAGAGTGGGTTTGGGACATGTAAACCAGTTGAACTGTCTGAAGCAACATATTCAACTTATACACAGATTAAGACACTTACTTCAATAATAATAATAATAATAGATGGGCTCTTATACTCTATACTAGAACTTTATCCTTATGATAAAATCTCAAACATATTAAATGCTAGATATTTGTTACTGGAAATAAAATAAATAAATGCCTAAATTGCTAACATAATCATACACATCAAGATAGTAGGTGGCTCAAAACCACTTACAAAAATAAATAAATCAATAATAGTGTACTTAAAATAATGAAGCTCAAATGGAACAAAAAAAATAAAAACCATTTTGTAATTGATAACATTGATATCTCTGGCATTATCACTCCAACTCCAAATCCAAGCTTACTCATTTTAATTTTCCATCTTGTCTCAAGAACTTAACATAACCAGGTCAAAGAATTTATATTACAGAATAGTATTTTACCAACTATATTCACTATACACCTAAAAATTGAAAATTCAAACCCCATATGATTAAACAGATTACCAATCAGAGGAATAAACTTTTAATAATAATACAGTAATATTACGTTGAAAAAGATACAAGAAGAGAATTTAGCACAAATCTTTGAAATTTTTATCACCTGAGGTGGCAATATTGCATGTTATCAGGCCAGTCAACATCCTGAGTTCATCAGAACTGTCCACATCTTCAGTTCATCAGGCCTGTCATCATCCTGAGTTCATCATAACTGTCCACATGTTGAGTTCATCAGAGCTGTCAACATCCTGAGTTCATCAGGCCTGTCATCATCCTGAGTTCATCAGGCCTGTCTACATCCTGAGTTCATCAGGCCTGTCATCATCCTGAGTTCATCATAACTGTCCACATCCTGAGTTCATCAGGCCTGTCTACACCCTGAGTTCATCAGGCCTGTCATCATCCTAAGTTCATCCGGCCTGTCTACATCATGAGTTCATCAGGCCTGTCATCATCCTAAGTTCATCCGGCCTGTCCACATTCTGAGTTTTGTCCCCAAAAGATGGCCAAATTTATCCAAAACAATTTAAAATAGAATGATGGTTTCCACATTTCCTCTCCAACGATATCGCCATGTTTAGACCAATCCTAGGTTTAGGTATTGCTATGAAGTACAATAAAGTAGATTAGCAGTGCTTGAGATGCCATTCAATCAAGTACTGGCAGATCTTACAATATTAACTGCTCATGTCTGTGCAGACCAACTACAGTAAGAATGAAATATTCAATTGAGGGTGTTCAAAATTGGGACCAAAATTACAAAAAAATCATGTCATCGTTAGCCGCGTCTCAGTTTCTTTAAGGCTATGTATGAATATTAAAAGGCATACACTTGGCCATTTTCCTGGCTAAACTTTGATTTTTCTAGTTTACTACCATTATGCCAGGTAAGTAGGTATTGTATCTGTATGTTTGCTTTGATAAAGGTCTGGTGAATTTATCAGGTGAAATTAGCTAATTTAACTATAAATCTATAGGAACAGAGGATTTTATTTGACCCCATTTAGTTGATTGCACCAACATTTTCCAATGGATTAGAAGTGGTCCATTTAATTTGTTTGTTAGGTCACAGTCATCCATCAGGTTGTTTCTAGAGTCAATTATTGCTACTTTCTGGCTTTCTTCAGCAATATATGATACATTTGAAACAAAATGATCTGTTCTGGGATGGAGCATTAGGATAAACTCTTCATTCCCCCAAACAGTTTGAAGGATATTAATATGTTTCTATGACTGCAACTGTCTTATTACCATGCATCTCAGTCTGTTTTAGGAATATTTTTCAGAAAAATCCTAGTGTACCAACGGATTGCCAGTGTGAAATTCAATACAACTTAAACATTCAACATTTTCAACATTCTACTGCAAAAGCTTACACTGACATGGTGCTGAATTTGTGGCTTTCAGCGTTGTTTTCTTAGTTCTGGTAACTGATTTGAAGAGTTTGTTGTGAGCAGTCAAAGCATGACGCGTGAGTTGAGTTCTGGACGGAAATGACGGTTTACAATCAATACATCTTATTAACCCCGAATGTCTCCTGCGAGATTCCGGTTTGAATCCGGGAAGAACAATATCATTAGCGGCATGTTGTAATAAGTGAATCCTCAGGGTTTTCCTGGACAGACACACCTTTTTACACAAAGGACAGGACTCTCTGCTAAATGAATACATCGGCTTATCAGATTTCTTTTTGACTGTCTGTAACAAACGTTTTATATGCATTTGGAAATGTGAATGTTTTTCTTTGTGTTGGACAGTTGTGCCACAGAAAGAGCAACTGAACACTGACATCGGAGGAGCAAGGGCAGATGTCTTTGGGGAAGCATCAAGACGCTTCGGTGCTGGGTCACTTTTAGACTTCAGGCACTTCTTGTGTAGGCTGAGTAGCTTACTTGTACCTTCAATGGGTTTAACTTCGATATGGTCTATTGGTCTGCCTTTCTGTGTACCCTGGTGTTGTTCATTGTCACATAGCTTGTACCGCAGCTGTTCCTCTGTAAGCTCCGTGTTTTTCAGAGTCCCACGGCACAAACATTTCTTGCTGTGGGATAGCCCATTGCCAATGTCTACTTCATGTTCAGTTTCAACATTTTTTTTATGATTGAAGCAGTACAGATGATCTGCTGCCTGCTCTTTGTCTGAAGCTACCTGAGACAAATGTGAATCATTGTTCATATCTTGGTGCTTTGTTCTTTTATGGAGAGGGAGTGATTCTTTGTTCCTGAATATTTTTTGACAGATGTCACAATATGTTTGCCATTTAATTGCATCCTGGGTATTTTTAGGGCTGACCTTCACAGTGACATTGGACTTGTAGGTGAAGATATTATCTTCAAGTGGTTTAATGCAAGCAGATTCCAGCGCATCAGCCATTTTATTCTCAATGACGTTTAGACAAAGCCCACATCTTTTGGAGTTATACTTAAGTTGTTTACACGACTCAGAAGCATCTGGCCGTAATGCTTGAAATTGATGACCCACAGCGAGTTGATGACCCACAGCGAGTTTCAAGTTAACTTTGCAGAATTTGGAAATGTGTTCCAACTTATCTTGATCACTGGTGAATTCTTGAAGGCAGAAAATGCATTGAAAGTGTTCTGCTCTTGGAAGAGAACATGTGTGTTCAATGAGAGGATTCTTTTTGACACTGTCACTGCTTTGTTCTCTAATCTGATCAGGGGCCATCTCAGTCATTACCTCAAGTTTGGACAATGAAGTCCTGCAACAGGTACCACATGAAACGTGTTTCTTTTTATCTGTCCGATCGTGAAGATCCTTGTTACTGATGCCACAGAGTTGAGGGAATTTGCTGATAATTCTCTTCTCTGATGCAGGTAAAAAAGTAGGCAAATGAATCAGTGGTGATGTCCTAGATATTTCATGACATTCCTTGTGTTCATCAGAAGCATCTACAGACTTCAAAAACTGGAAACGAACAGGGGATGAGGGAGAAGTTGGCCTAAAAATATAATTTAAAGCCATGCGATCTTTAAAGGCTGAAATAACATCAAATTTCTGTGGACACACAGAGCATTGGAAAATTTGGGCAGCCTCAGAGTTCAGACTTTTAGAATAAAAATCTGTCGATGGTTGTTCTTGTGCTGACTCTGTAGAATGGTAATCAGCCTGTTCTAATATTATTCCCGGTTCTTTATCCATTCTTAAATGAAATGCCATGTGGAATACAAAATGATTGTAGTGATTGAAGGTTAAGTTACACCTTTTACACACTTGGCTAAATTCATTTGTGTGCTGGTAGCTGTGCTCCAGTAATTGACATAGTATTGGAAATTGGGCATCACATATCATGCATGGGAATTCTGCTGCACTTGGCACATGATATTGGCTATGGCTTACATGTGGTTGGCTATGGCTTACATGAGGTTGGCTATGGCTTGCATGAGGTTGGCTATGGCTTACATGTGATTGGCTATGGCTTACATAAGGTTGGCTATGGCTTACATGAGGTTGGCTATGGCTTACATGAGGTTGACTATGGCTTACATGAGGTTGGCTATGGCTTGCATGAGGTTGGCTATGGCTTCCATCTGGCTGGCTATGGCTTGCATGAGGTAGACTATGGCTTGCATGAGGTTGGCTATGGCTTACATGAGGTTGGCTATGGCTTACATGAGGTTGGCTATGGCTTGCAGAAGCTGTGCATGCCTCAGCCTCATTCAACCCCACTTCACTTCTATTTAAACATATATGGGTATTGAACATACTTTTATCTGGAAAGTGGTTCTTGCATCTAAAGCAAATTGAATTACTTTTGGGTTCTTCTTCATGTGCTTCATAATAAGAGCAACAGACTTTTTCCTTTGAGACATGATCAACAAATATAACACACTTGGCACCACAGTTTTTATCTACTTTGTTGTTCTTGAACTTGTGGATAGCACCCCATCCTCTCTGTGAAGCCTTCCAAGTGTCTTGTGCTGTGCCTTCAGAGGTTGAAGCCTTCCGAGTGTCTTGTGCTGTGCCTTCAGAGGTTGAAGCCTTCAGAGTGTCTTGTGCTGTGCCTTCAGAGGATGAAGCCTTCAGAGTGTCTTGTGCTGTGCCTTCAGAGGATGAAGCCTTCAGAGTGTCTTGTGCTGTGCCTTCGGAGGAGTAAACCTTCAGAGTGTCTTGTGCTGTGACTTTGGAGGATGAAACCTTCAAGCTCTGTACAGAAGATGCCATCTCGGCCGTAACTGGCTGGAAACCTCTATCATTTCTGACGGGCGGTATTCTATATCTTTCCACCAGTGAATTTTCAGTTATTATTTCGGTATCCATCACAGGTGAGGAGGCTTGGTCAACCGTCACACCTTTCAATACCAGGTTTATATACCTCAAGCGGCATGCCATATTGATAAGGCAGTGCCTTCGTAAAGTGTTATCACTAGCAAATATTTTATTACACATCAAACACAAGTGTTTTTCTTTCTGGACAAAGTTCCAGTGGTTGAAGGTTAGAGCCATGAAGCATAAGTTATTCTGCAGGAGATGGCCTTGCAAAAGAGTGACATTGTCAAATTTCCTATGACATGACTTGCAGTGTAATTTGTTCATTTTTCCCTTCATTTCATTATCCCTTGACAGCCTGTGAGTCTCCTTCATGTGTTTTTTGCACTTAGACTTTTGTGTAAATACCATAACACAATGTTCACACTTGTACCCTACACCCCCTTCCTCAATAGAGCTCATGTCATCAATATCATCAGTATCATAACCAGAAGATGGGCCCATCATAACATCCCCAGATGAAGTGTGTTGATCCACTTCACCTTTAATAGAATTACATTTTAAGCCATCACCTACTATTTCTTTATTTGCTATTACCTTAGATGTCCCCACCTGGCAGGATTTAATCAACTGTATATGTTTATTTAGATCTTCATACTCATAGAACCAACACAGGCAACTCTTACACTGTGCCGCTGCCTTTTTTGAACCCAAACACTTAGGAGTGTTTTGGTGATGCTTTGCCAATGTTGGCTCATCCGTAAAACCCTTCAGACACACTTTGCACATGACAGACGTGGACACAAGTTTAACAAATGCCCTGTTTAGTTTCTCATCTGCCATTGTATTTTGCTGCGCAGTTCCGGGACAGTTTTGTTCTCCTGCATGGTTTAGTAAACCTATTTCTGAAGAAAACTCACGGCTACCCTCTTTGCATAGATGTTTCCATTTCACTGGTGTAGCATCAACCTGTGCATGACTACCTGAATGATCTTCACTTTGCTGGTCAACAGTTTGGGCCCTTACTCTCTTTTGTTTTGAAAAGTTATGAGGTGACCCCATAGTTGTTATTAGTTTGTAATTACCAGGCAGGCGTGAGGTATTGTTTATAGTTATTTTAGCAGCATGGGTTGATTTTGCCGGCTGCCATTCATTGTCTGCAGTAGTCTTTGTTGCGTAAGATGATCTCCCAGGATACACATTCATACTGTTCCAACAGTGGTGTAACTCGTCATAGGTGCCCTTGCACTGTGGTTTCCTTTTCAGATGTTCTTTCAGTTCTGTAATATTTGTCAACCAAGTTGAACATGCAGTGCACCACACAGTCTTTTTTCTGATATTTGGTCCCAATAGATTTTTTGCCTTGTTTTCATTTTCCGTTGAAGTTAAAGCACAGCGATTTGGAGCATCTTTCTCCTTGTCCTCAACAACATCATTTTTTAGAGACTCATTGTTCGTTGAACTAGCAGTTTCTTTTTCTTTAGGCAATAAAAGATTTTTATCGCTGCTCATTTCGTCAGCGGTGACAGCGCCTTCTTTTTCTGCAGTTAGTTGAGTAGTTACCCTTGAATATGTGTTATTTTGGCGGCAAGGCGTTGAAGTCACTTTTGATGTTGTGGTATCCATCGGAGTGGTGCCCCTCTGTTTATCCCCCAAGGTGATGTCCTTAGAAGTAATTCTACTATTCCTTTGGGCCATCAGCTCTAATCTTTCCATTGCAGATGTTTCTGGTACTGAAGCTGCACGCCATGAAGTTTGTGAATTATGCTGGATGGGCAAGTGGGCTTTAATGTTACAAGAAGAACACTCGTGGTTCATCAGAAGTGAACCACTCTTTAATAAACGAGAGCAATTTGGGCATGGGTCAACGCGTTTCTCCACAAGTGGTTGGAGGGCTGGTTTGATGTGGCAGGCCAAAATATGGCTGACCAGACTTGTGCGATTGGGGAAGGACTCTGGGCAATGCTTACAGCTACAGGATCTGCCTTCTGGTATTGCTGAATTAGAGGCTTCACACCCACCATTGTCGCCACCACCAGCATTTAACTCTCTCAGGGTTAAGTTTTGTGTATTCGTGCCACTACATGTTTTCAGCATTGAAGATGAAAAGTTCTGTGTTGGATCGATGGGTTCCTCAGAACAACTTGCAGTATCCAGCTGTTTAGTTGAAACATCCTCATGAACTGATGCAACCACTGCTTCATCCTCAATTAAAATCTCATCCTGTATTTCTTCAACCTCCATCTCAAGAGTAGGAGACTCTTCTCTTCGAGAAATTAAAGGGTTTTCCTGTGAAGTTTTGGGGATTGGTTTCTTACAGACACTGCTCATATAACAATGGCTGTCTGAAGATCTCATTTCAAATTCTGAGGACTTAATAGATTCAGTACACTTTTCTCTATTCACACCCACTTCCTCATCGCTGTCTTCAATTACAATCACTCCGGAAACAACTGGACCAAACTTACAAATACGCTTGCTAAGGTCTACTTTAATAAGCACACAGTCATCCATATCGTTTCTTTCTGAAACAAATATTTTAGGCAGAGAGTTATTTGTTAACTGAGGTGAAATTTCTGATATATTTTTGGAGGATGAACCCACATGCTTACTTTCTGATAGACGTTTTGCGTTGTCATTTCTTTTAGACATAGTTGAAATATGTCCTGAACTTGAACGAGGAAAAACAAAATGCTATAAATTTCCCTTTCTAAAGCTGTATCAGCTGATGACCTTTGAACACCGAAGGATCAGTACTAACTGCAGTAGATTTAATTTGTTGTACTGTATTGGTTCATGCTGATCAAAAAGACTTAACATGGCAAGACATGAGGGTGCTCTGAAGCTGTGCCAAGAGATGACAGCAAAAAAGTTCTATTGTAATGCAACTCTGCATGACTTTTGTTGCTTGAATGCAGAATGCTGACTCTGATTATTACCTTCAGCAATGGCAAGACTGCACACAGCAATTCTATTTCAGGATTTGTGTTAGATGAAATGGGTAGAGATTTCGTTGTGTCACCAAGATGTACCCATTTGTTTCTGGTATTGTTGTGTTGTCTTTTAAAGTTTTCTGTTGACTTCTTCTTTTAAATTTATGGTATTAATTATCTGCTGAGCTGGATTCATTTCTGTTTTCCAATTCTGCTTGGAAAGATAGAAAATAAAAATCATATTAATAAAAAGAGACTTTCAAAATAAGCTGTCCACAGCTTTAAAGTATTTATTTTAAAAAAACACACAAAAATGATAATTTTATTCTGTATCAATCCTTTGTTGTCATTGAGTGCCTTATTACCCTTCTGCGCAGATTTTCTTTGCTTAATGCATTATAAAATTATTTTTTAGTTTTTAGTGTGGTTTAAACTCATGTCAGTTCTTAAGTAAGTTTTTTTAATATATATATATTTTTTATATTTCTGTGTGAGAGTTTGTCACCCTGTCAAACTATTTAATTTGATAATTATTTTACAAATTAACATTTTTATTTTTAAAAAAATGTTGAAACGTTTTGAATTTATCATTATTTTTTTTAATATTGTTCTTTCTCATTCTGATCTGTTATTAGTATTATTAGTTTTGATTTGTGCGTAACTAATTATGATAAGGAAAACTAATTTATAAAAAGAAGCCATTTTTTAATCACTAACAATCCACCATAAATTCAATTGATTATTATAGCATTTTGTCAAAAAACCATTCACCTTTATGAAAATTACTCAATAAAACTTTATCATGCAACTTTCTCTAAGATATTTGTAAATGCTATCCTATTACTATTATAATTAAGTTTCACTACTGTAAATATATATTGTTATAACCACAAGATTTTTATAAATATTTCTCAATATTCTGTCTAATGTAAGCTGTTTTAATTTGGGGAAATGATCTCTCATGTATAGTGTTCCTTAGTCTCAATTATTTTGACCAGTCTTAAAAATAAGATGTTCTAATTTTTAGGACCAGACAAATTAACTATGTAAATAATTTTGACCTGTCCCCCCCCCCCCAAAAAAAAATTTACTGGCTTTTAAATCTCTAATATTCCACTGTAAATAATGTTACAATTACAATCAAGATAAAAATAAAATGTT